AGAATTCTCAATGCAAGATTACCATTTATCCTCTTGAACATAGAAAACATGGATTCATGGTAATTGTGGTCAAGGAACCAGATGCTTGGGTCCTTATCATCTTCCTCAAATGGCACTGAAATTACAAGATCATTCATATTAATGGATGCTCAAGAATTACAGAATTCTAGAAAAGGAAAATGTACTGAAAATAATCCTAATCAATATGCCCTTGATGTAAAAATCAATTAAAAAAAAGCAACAAATCAAGATTCATACACAAGAACAACCAACAGCGCAATCAAATCGCAACAATTAATTATGTCCAGTCTTAGAGTTTCTATACCTAGCAGTAGTCTGCTTACAGCACTATTTGGGACTGGCACGTCCATATTAGAGTAGTCACAAGCAGATTCCTATTCATCTTCACTGCTGAACTAAATTTTCAACAACCATTCTACACCGGTTCCTCAATATAAGTAGAGGAATCAGCGTAAGCAAGACTATCCTCATGATCACCCTTCCACATGAACACCATGGGGATATTAAGATAGTGATACTCATAAAAGTAGAGGGGTGCTGATCCTGTCATTTATTGCTGAGGTTTATTCGACAAAGTACTAGGTTAGAAGAGGACCGTCCCAAAGCATTTTGTATTGTCCGAGTCCTAATCACCAATCATAGTGTGCCGACACAGCTACTCAAGTGTTTACAATTGCATTAAATTTTTCTTAGAATAATAATAACAATCATACTCGCAAACCTAACCCTAATTCTCTTCTTAGTTGGCCAACAAAATTTCAAATCCATACTAGTTTTTGCTCCCACAGTTTTAAATTTGCAAAATTTTACCCTAAAAATATAAAAACAATCAAATCTAGAAGTCAAAATCGGAAATTTCAGGAAAGGGAACTCACCTGCATAGCTGTTGCTAACATCGACGGTGCCCTTAAATGAACTACCAAGCAAGACGCCGACGACACGTTTGCGCGTGTCCTTGGCGACCCGATTGTAGTTATCGACGATGCTGAGAAGAACCAGAGGATGCACAATGACCTTCTCTATGGGCCTGGATGAAATTTGCTGAGATTTTATCACGTCCATCTCAAAAGTATCAGATTTCTCGCTCTCGCCTCCTAAACCCTTCTGGCCTTCTCTTTCCCTTCTTCCCGTCGGCCCCTGTTCTATTTCTATTTTCTGCGAGCAATAAAAAATATCAAGTTAAAACTCTAGAGCTCCGCTTTTCAGCTTTACGCCCAAAAAAAGAGAGGTTTTTAAAAAATATTTTAGCGGTGAGAATAAATTTCAAAAATAAAAATAAAATATTGATGATAAAATCAACTGTCATCAACTATCAATCAATCAATTATTAATCAATTAACTATATTTTTAAAAATTTGTAATACCAGATTCATTTAAAAATGGGTTGGATATGATATTAATGGATCCGAATATATTTAATTAATGAGATTTGAATAACATATTAATTGAAATTTGAATATATTAAATTAAATGAGAAAATTTCTAGTTATTTTTTAAAAAAGTGTCGTTTTCATTTCAAACACATTATACTGTTATTTAAAATAAGGCCTGATTTTGATAACAAATATCCCACGGATCAAGAGTAGCAAGGACAGTTTAGAGTGTCCAAGGATTAGATTCATTTTGGCGAAAACACGGATCCAAGCAAACCAATTGTTTTGGATTAAAAACATACGATCTGTTCCATTCGATATGAAAGAGTTTGATTCAGTTTAATTCAAGTTAAATTGAGACAGACTAAGAATTGAACCAAATCAATGGATTTTCACAGCATAAAAATCGAGTCAGAACTTTTTCTTGGGTGATAAATAAGCGCTTTAATTTTTTTTTTTTGGGGTAAAAAAACCAAATTAAATGCTTTTACATTTTACAATAACAATCAACAGGGAAAAAAAACAATAGCCACAAAACTTGTGGCTCAATTCTAATCCTCATAATCACAATATCTGGATCCATTGGTATATTTTGACGATTCTTCAAATTCCTTACCGTTTACTAACCGGGCAAGTTTTGAAATCTTGATCGGATTCGAAACCAAGTGATCATCTTCATACGATTATCACCAAAAATAAAAAGAGATCATCTTCATCCGAATCTTGCTTTTCTTTACTATTTAATTTATCCAAACGGACCGACATATATTCCTTTGTATTCTTGCCTCCTCTGCAAGTCTTTTATAATATAACCCCTTTTCATGGAGCAATCAGCATCCATTAAAATTCCCTCCCTAGATAAGCCTATCTTCTTTGCTAAAGCGACGAGGTAATGGGGATAAGAGAAAGGTGCACTTATTCAACTGGCCGAATTATTTGCACGTTCGGGGTAATTGAGGATTACTGATTCAAAGTACTAGAGAATTTTTTTTTCATAACTCTTTCAACTCTCCCTTCTTCTTCTTGTTTCTTTTTTTTTTTGGTTGGCTTGAATTAATGGAAGGTTGAAACCTACCAAGTCAATATTTCTCTTGCTATTCATCAAATATAGAAACTCGTCCGGCCACTAATTGAAGGGGCTGTAGATTTTTTTTGTCAATTAAAATTAGTGGGTTTACTGAGGGTCGCGTGTGGAGTTAAAATGTTATCATAATTACTCTAAAATTTGTTTTGGGAGCTGGAGATAAATGAGGAAACTGGTCTAACCCGGTCGCCACCATGGAAGGAGCAAAGGTCTTTTTTGTTTCTTTGAAGTCCTTTCTTTAAAAACAACCAACGTTGCCTTTTTCAAAAATGGGAGATGAAATGGAAAGAATTAGGAGGGAATAAGTAACAATAACATTCTAAACATCAAAATCTAATTAAATTATTAAATTTTTGTGTATATAAAAATATAATGTATAAATTTACATAGTACATTCTTTACACCAAATAAGTATTAATTAATTACAACTAAATCAAATATAGAAAACTTTAAAGGCAAGCACAGATTGTAGACAATAGCCTTATGGAGCAGTGCTATGAAAATTTCTATCCGGGCAACTTCCTATAATTACTTAAGGAAAGTGTTTTCAACAAAATTATTCTTATGTATTTATTTCGTATACTAAAAAATAACTTGTAAAAGGTTAATTCAAAATATGGAAATCATAGAATCAATTTCGCTTGTATTATTAAGAGGCTAATATCTGCCCTTCTAACAGTAAAAACAAAACAAGAGAAGTAAGTTCAAATAATTAGCCGAATTAGAACATTTCATTTGGAGATCAACTTGATTTGAGACAACTAAATTTCAAACTTTTGACTCATGAAAAATCCAGCCTCATAGTAGGGGAATGATGATTTTTCCAGGAAAGACCAAGTAGAAACTTGCTTATGCACTACAAATTAATTGTCACTCCAGAAAGGAGGGTTGATTTCAGACATTCTTCGAAAAATCCTTAGATGCACAGAAAACCTGGTAAACTTTGAGGCAAAAGAACGCTACTTCTAAATTATGACCTCGCTTGTGCACTACAAGTTGACAATGGAATGACAAGAACTCAGGACCGCTTTACTTGGCTACCAATGGAAATGTCAAAGGAAAGTTTGACGTTCTTCAATATTAGCCTTCGAACTTTTTACTGTTTTACATAAGAATGACCATTGTCGCTTACAACATGGCATACCATCCCCATATGCACACATTTTACAACAAAAAGTCGTTAACCTCGAATCTCATGATTCCTTCACCATAATAACCAGTATCCAACCAACTCAGGACCTTATAAACTTATATCACTATGCACATTCAACCTGAGCTGAATGAACAACACACAAAATAGCACTGCGGTTGATCTCACTTCACTCAGCGAAATTGCACTTCGGCATTTGTATAGCAATTCTACAAGTTTCAGCACTACTTTTTAGTCTCCACAAACTCTAGTTTCAGAAATGTGTGAAACCATATAGCAAAAGAGAACTGCGAGCTAGTAAGGTAAAATATGGCATGCTGCCTGTCAGTGTTTTAGCCTTCGGTTATCTAGGAAACAAAAAGGGGCATGGAAGATCACCGCTGATAATGAAATCAACTCTTGAAAATTTTCAGAGAAGGAATGACTTGATATAAACAAACAGATGAATGAAAACTGACCCCCTTAATTTTTACACCAACAATTACCTACTTGTACAAAACTCTCTAAGAGCAGTTGTTCTTTAGAGGAGCTCGATCCTGGTTACCTAACATCCTGGTAAAACAATGAGTTTGAATAACTTAATCAAGATCGCATCTGAAGAACTTTTTGGCATGTACAATGGCAGCAGAACGGGTTAAACTAAGATCCCAAACATCTGTTCACCTGCAAAGCATACTTCTTCCAACAATGTTTGTCTACGACCTAGTTTCAAAAGAAGAAGAAAGAAGGTCTAGTTACTGGAACTTTACATAACAAGAAAGCTTAGCACGTACACTGTAGGCACCAAACTACCAGAGCTCTAATAAGGAAAGATTCTAGTCATTCAATGATACTTCAGAGAGCAATCGGTGAGTAGTAGTACGCAGACAAACCCTGTCATCCCCCCCTGCCAATGATATGCTCATGTTTTAAAGTTTAGCATATTGATTTACAGCTCCAAATAGCGGTGTGCTAAACTAGAATGGTAGACAAAGTCATTTGTATTATGCTAAAATAGAGTAGTATTTTAAGCAATTAATAGACCAGAAATGACTTCAATTTCTGGTTCCATAAAAAATTGTCCCATTCAGAAGTTTTACGTTTGCCATCTGGGCCTAATACAATCGTCTTCCTTCCTTTATTCGAGTTTGGAGCTGGCTATGAAATATTGGCAGAGATATAAAACAAATATAATCGGGGACAAAGTATGTTGTAAGTATAAAATCATCGGTGACACGCTGATAGAATTCGAAGCCATACCTAAAATTGCAGTTTCCGGGGAGGAAAAGTCTCTGGCATAGTGCAAAAGGGTCTGTTGTAAAGTAGGGTGACCACGCTCAACTAAATAAAGCCGGTTTGAGACAAAATTCTCATAGCCATGACAATTCCTTGATCACAAAACCGAAATCGCCCCAGAAGAACAAGAACTCTCCCACACTTCAATACCTTCAACCTCTTCTCTGCTAATAAACAACCTGTTCCCACCACCATCGATCTGCTTAATAATCCCCCTCTCTGAATTCTCTATTTTATCCACGAAATTTCTTCTATACAAACCCTCAGCATCTCCACCAGCTATTTCTGCACCATTTTTCATCCCTTCGAGTCTGGACCAAACCTCTAAATCACCCTCTCTCCCGACAAACACCTGCTTCCTGTAACAATGAATCACACTGCTGCTAACTCTCCCGGTGTTCACCAAGCTTGGGTTCTTTTCTTGCAAATAAATCCACGGATCCTCTTTTAAATGCCGCATGTCCGCCATTGCCAAATCCCCGGATTGAGAGCAGAGCTTGAACAAAGCCAAGCCTTCCACGTCGACGTCCACGCACGCAAACGAATCCCCAAACCTACTGCTTCTACCTGCACCCGGCTCATTCGTCTCCCACACCACCTCGCTGGAACGAGGGTCCCACAATCTGATGTAGCCAGAGTATCCAAAAGCCCCGCTCGTAACTGCACTTCCGACAAGCACGCCGGTCTGGGGTACCCACGTCAGCTTCCCAGGAACCGTATGCTTAGCCTGATTACCAGATTGTCTAGCGAGCTGAGACACGACCTGAAGCTTTGTTTTATCTACTTCAAGGACACAATTCTCTCTGTGCGGGCAATCAAACGCCGCAAAAATGGAACTCTCTGAGCCAGCTATTGCGTTCACTCGGGCCTTGAAGATACGGGGATCAGAAGGATCAGTCCACTGAACCGTCCCGATGTTGCGCCCATCGGAGAAATCGTAGAAGTGTAGTCCCGCGTTGGATTCTGACCCTATAGCCACAATTTCGGGCCAGACACGGCAAATCGAATCAATTTCGTCTAGATGAGTTCGAATGGTGCATGAGTGGCTGAGATTCCAGTCGTAGCAAGAAATCTGACCACCGTGGGCTATCCAAATGGATCCATCGACCTCGGCGGCAGTGAAAGTGGTAGACAAGCCTTCAGACGCCGGTCGAATTGTTGCGGTGCCAGAGGCGTCGATCCCATCCAATGGTGACGGCGCCATGGCCGACCTGAGTTGGGCGTCGATGCCGTAGTAAAGGGCTTCATCGGCGAGTTCTTGCTTGGAGAAACGACGAGCCGTGGAGGGGAGCTGCTTGGTGCGGAGGAGAGAGAGGAGGACGGAGAAGATCTCGGGGTCGCGGTCAATGAAAACTGGGTGGTTATCGCCGGTGTCACGGAGGGAGAGAGCGGTGAGTAGGGAATCCGAACCACCGGAACGAAGGGTGGCAAGCGTCGTCTGGAAGAGCTTCCCGCCGACGTTGAGCTTGATACGGTCGTCCGGAGAGGTCACATAACTAGAGGCAGAAGTTGCCACATCCATTGAGAGAGCACCACGAAGATAGTCCAAAGCTTTTGACCAGCTTGGAAAATGGAAATCTGGGAAATGATGATCTCCGAATCAACCTCTCAGAATCGAAACGAAACGATGCGTTCCCCTCGTTGTTTCACCAATTATATCTTGCATTCTTAGAATGGCGGTGGGACAACGGTGGACATTTTCCGAAACCTTCCCAACGATGCAAGAGCTGGAATCTTTGGCTTCGTCTCCTTCATCGTTTTCCCTCAGATATGTTTTTCTCATCTGCCGTCTATTTTCAATCTCAGCTGCAAGACTACATCATATATCATATAGAAGAATTTGTTACAGTAAATATGATTGATTTATACACAGAGAGCATCCTACTTCTGTTAATGACCCCAATAAATTTTCCCGGCAGTCAATACAATTAGCACAATCTGTTTTAAACCCTTTCTTTTTCCTAGAATTTTAGAGTCCTCTCGCTATCTAGTCCTGCAAATGAATCTATAATGTAAACTGAGACTTAAGGCATGAAAGGATAAATACTCATTTATTTAGTACATCAACATTTTTAATTGTAAATTTATAAGCAGTAATATGAAGAAGCTTCTAGTCGAAAGCAGAAAAACGTTGATCTGCCCGCCTTGCTTGCGAAATTTCAAAGTTGGAGTAAGTTTCTAGTTCTTCATTTGAAGATGAAAATGAAGGTCTGAACTGTGTTTGGTTTTACCTCTTGCTGTGTGGACATGACTTAGCCCGGAACGGGCTGAAGTTTTCTTACTAATAGCCTATAAATAGTACTGAAAAATTCTCCTCATACCATATGGTGGGGATTATATTCCTAGATGGTATAGTCAAAATTGTTCAAGATTAGAACAAGTTTTAAAATTCATCCAAGTAAGAATAACATTTTCAATAAGTTTCGTGCACTTAAACTTTATCTTAATATGAACAACTTCTTTACAATCTCTCACCTCACACCTATCCCCTATAATGATTTTAATAATAATTGGATTGGATTACCATTTGAATAATGAATTATTAGTAAATAACTAGATGGGTGTTAACTATTATATAATAATAATGGTAATGACTAATACTATATTAATTAAAAAGTTATTAATGAAAATAAGTAATGTTTGGGTTTTAAAAATTTAATAACAAAGTAATGATTAAATTGACATGAACAAAAAATAAAAATTGATCTACCTTACAAATAATGATTCCTGATATCACATATTGAACTCCTTTGCATACATTGTAGTTTTTGTTGCATATTCACTTCTTATTAAGTTTGATCAAATATGCCATTTGTCTGCGTAGTTAGCTTATTTAAATTAATTTAAGGTTATTCAAAAAAAAATTAATTGCTGAGGATTGATAAATGCTTCATTTGATAGACCATCTTACTCAAAAATAAGTGTTATATTTATCTGTAAATAATACTGGATTATCAAATAAGGATATAAATAACTGAAATTGAGGACGATTGAGAGTCCTCATGGTGTAATGTGAATGATCTTTATGTCTTTTTCAGTAAAATAAAAAACTAATCAATCATTCAAATGTGTACAATATTCCTTGGAATCAATATATTAAATGGATTGAGTTAAAAACTAGAGACGTTATCAAACAAAGAGCTTATTTACAAATAAGTATTGTAATTAAATATTATAATAAATCTGATCAATGAAACATATACTGATATTCAGAAAATTTTAAATATAAAATTCAATCTATACAATGTTTACAAGGCAACATATAAATAATAATTATTTTTTTTATTCATGTCAGATATCACATAATGCGTATTAAGTTAATATGATAATTATTAATCTAATGAATTACTATACTATAAATTCTCAAGTTTTTTGACAGCAGAGAGGTCTAAATTGTGCTCCTCAAAAAAGCTAATGACTTCTCTGAAGCTCTCTACTGTAGGGAGGTAGCATGCACTATAAAGCCAAATAACCTGAAATGTTTTGATGCAACAACACTTTAAGTGAAAGTACTAGAAAGTTAAAAAAAGTAATAGAATGAAAGCGGTTATGCTGTGTAATATATATCATTAGTACCTTAAGAACACCCTCATGACCCACTAATCTTCCTGTTGCTGCAAGTGCAGCTCCAGCCAGGAAGCTAGAGTGATGAAAGAAACCCATCTGCCTTTGCCCCACATACAAATACCTCGTGGGGCTCAGAACGAATATCCATTTGGACCCATCTTTAGTATCCAGAAGCTTCCCATTCTGTCTATGCACCAGCTTGCCTCCTTCAACAATAACTACATATTCTTTCCTTTCTTTCTGCATTAGTACCACCATCAATCAACTAGATGAGATATAGCAACAAAAGTTTTTAGATAGACCCAGGCCAAATAAAAAGTGAATCGTCGCAGCTAAGTCTGTCGGGTATGAATCTATATCTAATTAAATTTCGGAACGATTGTTTACTAGTAGAAAAATGGTTGGCTGCTTTGGCTTCTAAGCCAGACATCAGGATAGAAGCGTAGATAGTAACCATATCGATGCTGTGGGTCAATCTGTGCACTAACAAAAAGAAAGTACTCCTCTTGTTCTAAATATAAAACCATTTTTATAGTGTAATATAAGATTCTTTTTGTAGTTCTTTTTGTAGTGTAAATTACACTACAAAAAAGGTTTTATATTTATGACCGAAAGAATAACATTGTCGATACTTAATATAGATCAAATCTATTGCTCAAAAGCTTCAAGATCATACAGTAGGGTACTCTTCTTAGCTAACATAGTGGTATAATGGGTAAGAACAGAGAAGGCTTCAAGGCCTTAGAGCTGGTTTTGCGGGCACGAATTTGTCATTCACCATGGAGATCAAACGGACCACATCAAATATTGGAGCTGCCACAGGGCCTTGGAATTCCTCTGAAACTCGAATTCTCTTGCCCCATATGATGAGGCACCATATGATTAAACCGAGGAATAGATAAAGAAGGAGATTGCCAATGCCAAAATTTCCAAATGAGATTTTGTAAGTGGAGCTGGGATAAGGGCCTGTTTGGATGACACTGGAAACCATGGTTTGCCCAAAATGTCATCCAAATAGGCCCCATAAAATTGCAAACCGTGGTTTAAGATAAAACCATGGTTTCACCCGGTGAAACCATGGTTTTATCAGAAGCTAATATTATTCGCTTTTGGTAAAAAATTTGGGACGGCTCATCAGTAGGCAATGGTCATTCCAAAAACACCCTCTTCCTTCTCTTCTTCGCTGGTCGACACTCCTTCTCTTCATCAAACGATCAGAGTGATTATTCTCTCCACTCAGCTTGAAGCTCAGCCCTTCGCCCCTTGATCATCAGCTTGTCTCTTCGCCCCTTCATCATCAGGTCGCGTCTTTGCCCGTTCTTCATCGCCAGCTCGACTCTTCGCTATCACTGCTCTGAAACTCGACACCGGTGAGATCGTCCTGGCCTCGCAAAAACAGGGGTGGTCGTGTGTTTCTCGACTCGCCAAAACCAAAGCAAGTGTTGGGTAGTCCGATCCATCCATCCTCTGTTTCCAATCTTCATTCTTCAGTTCGCCCGGTGAGGTCGGCTTGTGTAGTTCGGTTGGTCAGATCTTGTACTCAGGTTAGCTCTCTCTGGTGATATTAAAAATTTTGTTCACTCATGTATTTCCTCCATTCATCGATCTATCAGCTTCCTGCTTATGGTTCTAGTTCGGTCCCTCCTCTGTTTTCGGTCTGTCATCCGGTTGCAAGTCATATGAATTTTTTTAGAACCGTGGCTATTAGTATTTTGACTGTGGTATGTTGATTTGGAATGATTTGGCTGTATATCCTCTTCGAATTGCAAGCTTCCTCTCGGTTCCATTTTTGAATTTGCTGAACCAGGTTTTTGTTGTTCGAAGGAATGATATCATTATTGCTTCGTTTGGTAAATTGCTTCTGATTTTATGAAACGAAGAGGGAACAGATTCTGGTAATCAATGTCTGGTTCTGGAGGCAGGGGATGTATATGGATGAGAAAGTCTGGCAATTGTTATATAAATTCAATGCAAGTTGTTTTTCCTGTTGTTGCTTGGCGTGGGATCGTTTTTTCTGTCCAGATTTCCCCCGGAGAAGAAGCCTGTGAAGTCGAGACTTGGTTTTTTTTTTGCCGTGGATAGTACTTGTGATTAAAAGTAAATTCATTAACATTATTTGTTAAGAGTGTACGTATGGAGATGAGAACAAGTAATATCTCACTACAGAAAAAAAAAACTTTCAACCACGACTTTTAGTGGGGACATTTTGTGTCACTGTTAAAAGTGTGACTTTTAGTGGCTACATTAAGAGTTATTACTAAAAATATTACTTTCAGCAACGACTATAAATGTCGCTGCCGAAAATGTACTTTCAACGATGACTATAAATGTTGCCGTCGAAAGTATACTTTCAATGGCAACTTTTTACAATTATTACTAAAAGTCAATTTTTAACAGTGAGACTTTCAGCAACTATCTAAAGTTGTTGCTAAAAAGGACTTTTAGTGGCGACAGTTATTGTCACTATTAAAAGACGCTTTATGCTGTGGCTCAACATGTCCCCACTAAAAGTACCAAATGTCACCGTTAAAAATCACTTTCAACGACAACACTAAGAAATCCTATTTGAACTTATTATTATTATTTTAATTTTTTATAAGAAAAATCATATTTAGATAATAATTTTGTTCATTAATATGATTTGTTATGATAAAATAGAGTAATTTCACATGTTTTTGTATTAGACAGAGAAAAAGACAGAGTTAGAGAGATAATGTAGTGTGTATGAGAGTAAGAGAAAGGGAAGGAGGAATAAATGAGTGTGGTATGAGAGTGAGATATTATAATTATGTGTGTGTGAAAGAGTTAAATAATCATAATAAAATTATAATAAATTTTATTATTTTTATATGCTATTTTCATATTTCATAATTATAAATATAAATATTAAAATAAATAATATAATAACTTAAATAATTAGAAATAAAAAAATATAACAACTAATATTATTAATTA